GGCACAGCTTGCCTGCGGGATGGAGCACGGAAGCGTAACAAAAACCGCATCACCCCGCTCTTGTGGGTGCAGGGGCTCCGGGCGATGCAGAGAGGACCTTGCTTCCACCTCGCTTGCGAGCAGCTGGGTTTAGGGTTTTTTTTCCCAGCCTTATACCCGTAACGCTTTCTTTTTCATCGCTACCAGTTCGTCTTTCTCATACTTCAAGCAAAAGCAAACTAGACAAGTCCACCTGGTCTTCTAGCATAAGCTTCCCCGCCCTGCTACCAATACCACCTGGACTGCCAGCTGCAGGGAAGGGGGTCAAAGTCAGACCCCATCTCATCACCTGTATTTCATGGTCTGGTCCTACACCAAGCCAGAAGGAAGGAGGCAGCAGCCCCCTGCATATAGACTTGCCTCCTGGGACCAGTGCCCACATGGGGAAAACACAGATTTTCATCTTAAAAAAACAGCTTCACAGAGCAACGAGGATGTCGTGCTTTAACTTACCCATGAACCGATGCCCTTACGCTATCTGCCTCGCCCTCGCGTTCCCCAGGGTGAGATCTCACGGGCAGCAGCGTTTTCAGACCCTTTGACAAGAGGTGACAATACAAGGTCCAAATATATTCATTGCTAATATAACTATCAAATAGGTCATACCACTGGGAATTTCACTGAGGAGATCATTTTTCTGAAGATAGTAATAAAGCCTCCTCAGTAAGGCAGGCCAGGTAACGTGGACTGTAGTATTGTCAACAAGCAAGGAGAAAGAACAGAAATCTGCCAGTTTTTAAAAAACATCCTGCATTCAGTGTCTTTAGGCTAATGTTCAGTTTTCAGATTTGTATTTGCCAGTGCTAGTGAGAGTATAACAACATCCAGACTGCTCCTGATAAAATGTTAGGGAAGACAACTAGGAAAGTTGCAAGGCAGCAGGAGATGTATTTCCATGTGAGTTACTTATAGTGTTTTCCTCACCCTGCATAAATAGAAATTTCAGGTCGTGATGCAGAAAGCATTGCCCACCCCTCTGCCACTGGATGTTTTCTGCCCAAGCTTCCGAAGGCAAGCCAGCCTTCCTCTGGATGGTTATCACCCACCAAGGATTCTTTCCCAGGTGGAGAAAGACAATAGAGCAGCTCCTACCTCTCCTTAGAGCTTTCTACACATCGCCTTCGCACTTTTGAAATACGAATCATTTACGTGCAAGTGCGCACGGGACTCTCTTGAATTACCGTGCTCCGAGCGAGCAGATGGGAAGGCCACAGGGGCAGGTATCTCCGTGGCAAGCGGGGCGATCCTGGCGAGGCACAGCTGTCACCTGAGCGGCTAAGTCCTAACCCGCGTTAGGTGCGGCCGGTGCTTGCTAAGCAGGAGCCCGGCGAGGATGAGCCATGTTGGCAGTATCAGTGCCTTCTCCAAAAACACTACGCAAAGAAGGAAAAAAAAACAGTGTTAACCATGACCTTGCTCCACCTCTCACTTATTTTCCTGACCATGATCTGTGGTCTTTCCTCTGTTTCACACGTGTCCATTTTCATAGGGATTTTCACAAGCTATTTACTGTCCGGGATTTTGCTTCAGCACGAAACGTCCCTCTTAAGAAGTATTTCTTAGAGCAAAATTACAGTGTCCCCCCTCCCGTGGCATTAGTGATCGCGGCCTTCCCGTGATCACTCATACATAAAACCATGCGGGAATGAACTGCTGATGGCTTTGTCCAATCGCTGAACTAACCGACTGAACAGAACGCCGTGTTCAGCGCTCATTAAAACAGGCTGGCGCGGCGGTGCGGGGAGACGTGCTGTGCCATCTGCTGGCTGCCTGCGCTGGCCGTGCTGATGGGCTGCCTTCCCCCTTGCCTTCAGCCTCCATGCCAGCGTTTCCAGGGAGCGGGTCTGGAACAGCGCACTAATTTATTATTTCCCTTATTTATCGCTCAGATGGAAGTTGCCAAGATTTTTCTTGCCAGCTGCCTAAAGCTTTTCAAGGGAACACAAAGCCGCCTCGGATACTTACAGCTTGCCTGCAGACCTACGAAAGATCATCAGCCCTTCATTTTTGCACCGAATGCGAAACATGCGTGAGCAGGTGCTGTGGTAATGAGATCAGTTAGCATCTCTGCTGGATATTTTCCACATCCCATGTGATGCCTGTTATGCAACACCATTCCTCCTCAGAAAAAGCACCTAAGCTGCTTTTTTCCCCAGCACGTTACCTTTTACTGACCTCTTTGCAAAGCTGCAGGAGCATAGCTCAGCCTTGTCTGTGGCGGCCTCCATCGTGATCCCACTGCAGACTTAATAAAAGGTGTAGTTTTGGGAAAAGCTCTAGTTCTCTCCTTGGTAAAGCTGGGACCCACTAAAAGCCACACATTGCTCAACAGCAAGAGCAAGCAGCTCACTTTGTTGGTAGCTGCTCACAGTAAGGGAGGCTGAGTAAGCACAGGTGAAGGACATATTTATCCCCACAGGTGACAGGTTACATGTCTCCCCTATGGCCATCAGATTCCAGAAAGCATTGCTTAACCGAGAGGACACTTTCAGCGAGCTCTTCAAGCAAGCGGCACTTTTGCGGCAGCGACCCTCTGGCCGAACGAGAGCCAGGGTTCGGCACGGGCCCTGGCCCCAGGAGCTGAGCGAGCCCCAGCTTCCCTGGCAAAGCAGGGCTCCAGACTGGGATTTTTCAACAGCTGCTACCAGGAAAACTCTTTTGAAACGTGTAAAGGACCACATTAATTTCCATGTCCCAGGAGGTTCTTTTGATCCTTCCTCTCCTTTGTGAGGATTTCACCACACGAAAAGCCTGTCTAGGCTCAGCCCCAGCTACTTCAGGATGTGACAAATTAATCCTCACTCCTGCACTTACCTGCTGCCAGAAGAGGCAGCAAGTCCCAGCACCGACCTGAAACACCAAGTTTTCTTCTCTGCTGCCACCAACACTCTTCCGGCCCTTCCAGTAGTTTCCATTACCCCTCACTGTGCAAAGCGCCACGGCTCTGCAGGCAAGCAAAGATCTCCCAGGCAATTTCATGGAGGAGATCAAATCGCAATGCCTACTTCTGTGGAGGAATTTTTTTTTATTATGCAGTGTTTAACTGTTGTTTGGCCTGTCAGCAGCAGGGGGCAAAAAAGGCAGGGCCATTAAATTGAGCAGAACTTCCTGTTTCAGGATTTTGCTCTATACCACACCAGAATCCCCTCCAAAATGGCCATGCATGGCTGCACTTCCCATGGATCCAGGGCATCCAAGGACTAAAAAAGCCTCCCTACTTCTGTTCCCATCTGTCCAGCTTCAGTTTGTTGTTTTTCCACCTCTGCCTTTAATCATCAGCTGTGAACATTAATGAAATATTCTCCAGTTAGCAGAACTTTCCTGGCCGAAACAGGCCCGGGGTGTAAAGGTTTGCTGCAGACACACATTTCGCTTGCAGAGAACGAGCAGAGCGCCTGCGTGTTTGAATTGTAGCATCTAGCCTGTTGCAGGTTGGAGAACACACACTCCTAGTTTGGCTTCCCCCAAGACTATCAGGCAAAAAACCCAACCCAAAACCTACAAAAACCAAACCAAACCACCTAGATAGACTAGTGCTTCCATAACACTAAGTAATATTTATTGACAATTACTCCCCTTAACTGATTTCACATGGGAAACAGACAATAGCATCTCTGAGATGCTACTGGCACCCAAACCAAGGCACAGGCTCCCCAAAACCTGTCCCAAACACACGTGCAGGTCTCACCTGAGACAGTGTTTGTTAAACTTGCAAGAAAAATCAATCAGTCATTCCTCCTTTACAGCCGGAGCTGGAACCGGCCATTCCCAGCAAGAACTGCAGTGTGGGGTTAAATGTGTTTTCCCACCAGAAGACACGGAAATAATCAAAATATTTTGAAAGTTTACCTCCAAACGCTTTACCCATTTGTCCTGTATCAATGCTATGTTAGACCTATAACAGCAGACAACAGTTAACATATTTATCATAGATGAAGCGAATATATTTATCACACATGTAAATAACCATGAAATCCAGAAAGTCCTTGCTTTGATTCTCACTGAGTTCAGGAGGGGAAACAGCATCTCAGGCCACAGGGGATTTCAGCAATAGCTTTTTGCTCGGTTCCAAAATTATGAAGATTTAAGGGACCCTAAAGGTACTTACATCTTAAAATGCATGAGCACCAGGAGTTAATCAGAACAAGAATTAGACAAAATACCATAACCACGCACATCTCATTCAGCAGCTCAAGGCAGAAAAAGGAGGGACCGGAACAAGACAGTGAAAAGGCAGAGAAAGCAGCGACAGCATCCCACCCTCACCCGCCCTCCGAGGTCCCTCCATCCCAGCCCCACCTCCACATCTGTCCCCCCCGGCCCATTTCATTCCTATCGCTCTGCACACCCCTCGCAGCCTCTCCAAGCCGCTATTTACAACGCGGAACGATGACAGCATCACGAAAGAGGAAAACACCTTAACACGCAGGCCGGGTGAAGGAAGGGCCCTGTGCTACTTGTAGAGGTGGCCCCTTCTGAAAAGCATCCTCTGAAAAAAAACCCCAAAAACCCACCACCCCACAACAAATAGACACACGCACACCAGTTTTCTTCAGGATAAAAACCACAATATCCTTTATAAAATTTTTATTGGATTGAGTTGTGCTACTCACAGCTCTCAGAAACAGAGAAAAATAACTATCATTGAAGCTTCCTGCTTTTCTTAACTCCCGCACGAATGCCAGAGAGTTCCCCGGCATATCTGTGCAATTCCCTCCTAACTTCACGGACCTGGCCCTTGCGGCGAATCTTGGCTCGCCGAAACTTCTCCCGATGCTTGACCCTGGGGTTGCGATCGATCTTCTTCCTTCTGGGCGTGAGGCCTTTGTTCTTGATCATCTGATAGGTCACACCTCTCTTTTTATTCGGATCCTCTCCTTCCAACACCGCTTCTGCGTCGAGCACGTCTTGGTCTTCGGTTCTCTTCCTCTTGAGTTTCAATTTCTCCTCCATCATCTTATAGTATTTTAGGGCAGCCTCTTCATCCAGGTCTGACTCGTCTGAGGGTTCGTCAGCAGTAGCCCGGCCATTAGCAAGCGTGGGAGCACGTTTCGATTTGTTTTTCTTAACGTCCAGTGGGAGAAACAGCGCAAACTTCTTCTCCTTCCGTAGTTTATCTTCCTTCTTATCGTAGTAATTTTTCAAAAGCATACGAACTTGCGAGGATAACTTTTGATCTATAACAGCCAGGTCATTGATTATATTTCTATAAGCAACCAGCCGTTCGATAACAGGGTGACTATGAACCGGCATCCTCTTTGACTTCAAAACCAAATAGAAACTGATATTGGCACAGTAATTCAAGTACAGGTGATACTTGGTCTGCAAATAGCGGCTACCTTTGCCTTGCGGGATAGTGCCATTTTTGACCATTTGCAACAGGGGGTACAGTTCATCCTTGAGCTCCATTAGCTTGACTTCAAAGTCCTCGATCAGTTGCAGGAGCTCAGGAGACTCCTGCTTCAGTAGCTTCAGCTGCTCCTTCCTGGGAAGCGCCTGCAAATCCTTGTCAATCTTCTGCCCCTTGCTGTCGTGGGTTTTCTGCTGCTCAGCCAGATAGCCCTGGATCACATCCAGCCCATAATCATCTTCTCCCAAGTCTTGCACCAACCGCTTCTGGATGACCTGAGCCTCCTGCTCCTCTTCCTCCTCCTCAGCATCGACTTCTCGCTGGTTACGCTTGCCCTTGGCCTGGGCATCGCTCCTGTAGTCCGTGTCGTAGTAGAGCTGCTTACGCTGGCCCCAGGAGAGCTCGTGGGGGAGCTTGGTGTCCTGACGGTGCTCCTCCAAGTCGCTTTCCATGGACAGGTCCCCATCTTCATCTTCACACTCATCTCCTTCTCCTTCTCCATCCTCCTCCTCCTGCTCCTCCTCCTCACCTTCTCCATCCTCTTCTGCACTGTAGTCCACGTAAAGATCCAGCCCCTGTACCTCCTTCTCTTCTTCTTCCTCACCGTATCCATCCTCCTCCTCGCTGTCCTCCTCGGGCAGCTGCAGCCCCAGCACTTCCTCCTCCTCCTCCTCCTCGCTGTTCCCGGCCTCCTCCTCACTCTCCAAGGCCGCCATCACCGCCTGGAACTGCGCCTCGTGGAACTCCTCCACCTCGTCCGCCAGGTCCTCGGGGCCCGCCCGG